CCCACCTGCCTGCCTGTCCCAGCACCGCTCCGGGAAGTGGCTGGAACCTGGGGGAGGAGGGGCACAGGGGTCTGTGTGTTCCTGTTGCTTCAAGCACCACCCCCAGCAGCTCCCATTGGCCGGGAACGGGGAACTGTGGCCAACGGGAGCTGCTGGGGGTGCTGCCTGAAGCAAGAGCAACACACAGAGCCCTGTGCCCCCCCTTCCCCACGTTCCGGCCGCTTCCCGGAGCGGCAGGGGGCAGGGCAGGCAGGAAGCCTGCCCTTCCCCCAGTGTGCGTCGGGCTGGAGCTGCTCTAGGTAAATGCTGGGGCGGGGGGGCGCAAGGCGCTCGCGGGCCGCAGAAAACAACCCCGGGGGCCCATGTGGCCCCCGGGCCATGTGTTTGAGACCCCTGCACTACACTCTACTTAGTAAATCATTTCCCCAGGAGCCTGTACAAGCTTCCTCCAGTGCATACCCTCCCTGGTACATAGGACTGGAAATAAAAAGAAATATGGTAGAGAATAGTGATATTTACTGTTGTAATAGCCGATTGAAGTCTTACTCATCTAATGGTAGCTGCCCTGCCTTTCAGGCTGATGACAGCATAAGAATGTAGTAATGGCAGTTTTCACAAGCATCTCAACAGAACAGCTCTGTGAGGAAACCTTGCCCCAGAGTTGCCCCTGCCTGACATGGACAGGTGCTTTAATCAGAAGATTGCCAGAATTAGAAGGTTCCAGGGAAGCTGGAAATGGCAATTTAGGCTGAACAGAAAGAGTGGAACAGTTCCGACCTCAGTGACAATAATGTTAATCCATGGGGCCAGATCTTCAGTTAGTGTAAATTGGCATAACTCCTTTGACTTCACTGAAGCCACTTTTAATTCCATTTACACCAATAAGGATCTGGCCCATTGACTGCATTGTAGTCAAAATTACACCAGTGTCACCGAGACAGAATATACCCCAGGTGCAGACATTAGAGAAGAAAGCAGAGAATGTAAGGATGCCCAACAAAGAAAGCAAAGGGGAAAATTCTCCCCTCAGTTATATCCATGCAATTAAGGATTGAATTAGGCTCAACTTGATTGAAGTACTGTAAAGAAGTTAGAAAATACAGAAAATAGGAGAGAGAGATGATAGAAGAATTAATTAAAAATAAGGATTAGAATTGGGTGTTAATTTAATTCAATTAAGATAAAGACCTTTGGAGAACTAAGAAGCAAATTCTGATCTGAGACATGCCCTGTGAAATGGGTGGGGTTGCATGGGATGTAATTGAAACTAGAATTTGGCCCATATGTAAATAGAATCTTCTAAATCAGTGTAGAGGACAGTCTAATTTCTGCCATTATTTACACTACACTTTATAAGTGAGGGTAGAATTTGTCCCAATATTATTTTATGATTAATAGTATCTAGCTCTTATACAGCACTTTTCAGAAGTAGAATTCAAAGTGCTTTACCAAGGAGGTATCATTATTCCCCTTTACATTATGTAACACTTTTCATCCGTAGATCTCAAAGCAGTTAGTTTACAATGGAGATAAGTATCATTAGTCCCATTTTATAGATGGGAAAACTGAATCACAGAATAAGTGTTGAGAGTCTCTGTGTCTTGAAAAAAGACCAGGAGTACTTGTGGCACCTTAGAGACTAACAAATTTATTTGAGCATAAGCTTTCATGGGCTACAGTCCACTTCATCGGATGCATAGACTGGAACATACAGCAAGACGATATTTATACATACAGAGAACATGAAAAGATGGAAGTAGCCATACCAACTGTCTTGAGAACAGAAAGGAGCACAATAGATAAGCAGGACAAGTCTTCTACCGAGGGCAAATGCTAGCTTGATAAATGCATACTTTTTTAATTCTTCCCTGAGCGTGGGAGCGCTGCCCTTCTTTCCCACAGCTTGTGACTTCAAAGGGATCATGCCTGTGAGAAGACAAAGACCTATGCTGAATACATTCCAGGAAGAAGGTCTTCTGCCATCACCACAGTGTTGGAAGGAGCTGCTGCTAAGCACTGTGTCATAATGAGTTAGGTATTTTTAGAGAACAATTTTAATTAAGATCCCTCTGAATGTTCCATCTTCTTAAGTAAATAACAATTTGCTGTACTGGCATGTTTGTCATCTTGTCTGATCCTGTTCTCCTGTTCCTAATTAATTCTCAACTGTGCGTGGGTGGTAGGATTAGCATATGCAGTCAGCGTCCCATCAGCCACTTCTCCTATCACTGTCTAAAGAAGCATTACACAAGAATGTCATGCTTGGAAAAGAGATGACTAAGGGGGGGACATGGTAAATGTCTATAAAATCATGACTGGTGTTGAGAAAGTGAATCAGGAAGTACTATTTACCTTTTTACATAATACAAGAACCAGGTGTCACCTGATGAAATTAATAGGCAGCAGATTTAAAACAAATGTAAGGAAGTACTTCTTCAGACAATGCACAGTCCACCTGTGGAACTCATTGCCAGGGATGTTGTGAAGGTCAGAAGTATAATTGGGTCAAACAAGAATTAGATAAGTTCATAGAGGATAGGCCCATCAATGGTTATTAGCCAAGTTGGTCAGGGATGCAACCCCATGGTCTGCGTATCCCTAAACCTCTGACTGCCAGAAGCTGAGCCTGGACAACAGGGGATGGATCACCTGATGATTGCCCCTGTTCTGTTCATTCCCTCTGAAGCATGCGGCACTGGCCACTTTGGGAAGACCAGATACTAGGCTAGATGGTCCATTGCTCTCATAGACTCATAGACTTTAAGGTCAGAAGGGACCATTATTATCATCTAGTCTGACCTCCTGCACAACACAGGCCACAGAATCTCACCCACCCACTCCTGTATCAAACCTGTGTCTGAGCCATTGAAGTCCTCAAATCATGGTTTAAAGACTTCAAGGTGCAGAGAATCTTCCAGCAAGTGACCCATGCCCCACGCTGCAGAGGAAGGCGAAAAAACCCCTGGGCCTCTGCCAATCTGCCCTGGAGGAAAATTCCTTCCTGACCCCAAATATGGCAATCAGCTAAACCCTGAGCATGTGGGCAAGACTCACCAGCCAGACACCCAGGAAAGAATTCTCTGTAGTAACTCAGATCCCACCCCATCTAACATCCCATCACAGGCCATTGGGCATATTTCCCGCTAATAATCAAACACCAATTAATTGCCAAAATTAGGCTATCCCATTATACCATCTGATCCTCTGTGGCCATTCTTACGCAGTTCAGTTACTTTACTAGGCATACATAGGGTCAGAGTCTGTGTTGATTTAACCTGGGGTTGCACAGGATGTAAATCAGTGCTGAATTTAGTCTATTGAGGATAAAATCATATGACACTACTACTTCAGTACCAAGAGTGAAATTTCCCTCTCCGTTACACCATTTAATTTCCATTGAAATTAACAGGGTGGAACCGATGTAACAGAGGAAAATTTGACCCTGAGTGTTTAACCTGCTTGAATAAATTCAAGAGCTCACAAAGGTCTGATCTTCTTAAGTGCTAGATACCCTTATCGGCCGTTGATTTGCAGGGAGAGGAGCACACTCAATATCTTACAGAAGGTGCTCAGCCCCTTGCCATATCAAGCCCTCCCTTGTGACTAGTGGGGAAAAAAAATCTTTCTTACAAGCTCAGAGATTTACACTCCTTCCCCTTTCTGATTTCCGTTTGTGTAACCAAAGACAGTCACTCTTAGAGCCACTGCCACAGTGTGTGAAGTGGACTATAGCTGCATCAAAAAATGTGTTGAAATCAGTACACAACACTCCCACTCCCCTCTCTTTAGATGTTTTTTATTAACAGACAAATGAGGTTATAGAAATGACAGTTATTGTACCACAGAGAGCCTGCTGCCCACAAGGTACTGCCTCCCATGATCTCCAGATTAAGTGAATTTCTGCTGTATTGATAATCAGGCAGATTGATGTTCTGTTTATCCCCAGAACAGCTACATTATGGACAAGCAGGAATGCAGCATCCTCCATGCTGCTCCCTGGGGGTCACATCTAAAAGTTGTGAGGGGGGTTCAGACGCAGATGGCATTTGGGGCCCTCCCACAACTGCCAGAGCATGCATTTTGAAACAATCCCCAGTAACCAGCACTGCATTTTGATTGCCCGCAAAAGGAGGGTGATGATCAAAATGGAGAGCAAACAGCCATGGAAGTCAGCAGGAGTTTTGCTTCCATGAGGACAGCAGGATCAGACTATATACTGAAAGTTTTTCTTTACTTGTATTACTAACAATGCTTCAGATTATTAAAAATGAAAGGATTCACATTTCCCCATCACTCCTGTTTGTTCAGGTTTGTGGTTCATTCTGTCCGGACAGGGAACTAGTCTGGTTAATTTTACTTCGTGTATGTAGTCAGTTTCATCCTTTCCTCCACAATCCTCACAAAAAGTGAACTACAGCATTCTACAGTAATTGTGCAAAGCACTGCAATTTACAACACCACCATGATTAGAGACAGTACTATGCCAGTGTTGTCTTTTTAAATAAGGGAAAGCTTTTGAGACTGATTTTCCAAAACAGCAGGTTAGTTTTTAAAGGGACACTGACAAATAATTTCATTTTTAAAAAGTGTTTCAAGGAGTTTCAGCTACTACGTCTGCCTCTGTCCCCTGCAGCTTCCGTGGTTCACAGATTTTTTTATTTCCATCATTGTAGCACCGCAACACTTATTTACAATGAACAAATATTGGTGTATGTGTAACCCCTCCCCAATAGATGGGACTCCTTGAAATGCAGACAACAGCAGCACTTCGGTCCTAGCAACTCACAGAAATCAGAAGGCTGGGTTGAGGAGGAGAAAGAATCACCTTTTCTTGGCAGCAAGCAAGAGGCAGGGGCAGTGAGGGGAGAAAGATTCTCCCTCCAGCTGTCAAGAGGAGGGAGGAGAAAAGAGAAGTTCTCTACTTGAAGCAGCCAAAAGGCAGCTTCCCCATCACAGCAATCAGGAGGCAGAGAGGGAAGAGAGCTTGATATGTATCAGACATCCATTTGCTAAGGACTATACGAAAAAGGGAGGCACAGGGCAGGACCTAGGAATAGATAGGAATTGCAGTGACACTTTCTGGTCAGCCGGAGCTGGGGAGTTTTGTGACAGGCTTCTAACCAGGTCATGCTCCTGGTCCTTGCGCAAGGATAGGGAAGTAACTTTCCCTTCTGGCTAATAGGTTTTGGCCTCTGGGTATAAGGATTTCAGTACATTTTACAAGCCCTTTCCATAAGCCAGTCTAGGCCCTTATACTTTAAGAGGAGCATGCTATTTTTTTCTCTGTATAATTCCACATAAACAAAAAGTGACTGCAGTTTTCATTCAGTGGAGACAAATACTAGTAATGGGCGAGCAGGGATTTTATTCACAGGGAACAGGCACTGTGCTGTTTACAGAAAGGGTTGGTGAGCAGAGAAAGACACCTTCCCTTCTGCCTTCTCAAAACACCATCGACTGAGATGTGTTACAGCTTTTCAACCTCCGCTCACCCTAACTAAATCACTGTTTCTCTTCTTGGAGGGCCTGATCAAAAGCCAAAGCCTTCCAAAGGCTTTGGACCAGGCACTAAAAATACTATGAAGCATCCCAGAGGCTTTACATGGGGGAATGACTCATAGCAATCACCTCCCAGAGCGGCAGAAATTGAGCATGAACTGGGTGTCACGCTCAGAATAACACCCACTACGGGTTTGCTTCACAATGGACCTTCAAGGCTGTTGTGGGTGGGGTCATAAAGAGACTTACACATTAACTCCCTGAAATGAGTATGGCATTTTTCGGCACAGAATCCTATATTATCTGCCTGGGAAACAAAAATGGATAAAATAACATATCAGATGTGAATAGAACTTTTCTGACAAAGAATTGTTATTATATAGTATGCTATACTATTCATAACACCCAGATCGAACTACTACTCTGTATTGATTATAAAGCCCCTAATGACATTAGTTCAATCAAACTGTTAGCTAGAGAGAAGTGCAGTCGAGAGGTTAGAACAGGGGGACTGGAAGTCACGATTCCTGGGTTTTGTTCCCAGTGCCAATGGACAAATTGAGCTCTTTGTGCTTCAGTTTCCCTTAACATAGTGTATTCTTGAAAAGTGGCCATGACTCACAGTCACAAAGCACTTTGCTGTGTGCTGACTTTTGTGTGTCCAAAGTACTGAACCCCTACTAAGAGCAAATTCCAAAGGCTAATATGCTCTAAAAAGAAATGAAATAACCTTTTTCTTTTAATTCCTGTGTTGGGCTGATGCTGAGGAGAGGCCGGTTGTTGTGGTGAACAGGTATAACAAGGCTAGCAGGAGCCCACAGAACAGATAAGTCACACACAGTTTCTCCTCTGCCACTCTGGCAATGTGCATCCACCCTAAGCTGGAAGGACTACTTCTTAAGGGAGTGTTCCTGTGGCCATTTGGTCCTTGGCCTCCCTGCAACCACTAGCAAGGCTGCCAATTAATGCTAATGGATTAGAGATGGTCAAAATATTTGCACAAAATATCCTCTTCTTCCTCCCCCACCCCCATGGAAAAGTGACCTTTTTGCAAATTATTGTTAGCATTAACCAAAGGTTCCTTTTTGGTTACATTTTTGGTGGTATTTTTGGTAATTTTTTTGGTATGAAAACTTATCAGTTACTGGAAGCCATCTTTTCTTTCTGAAAACCACGTGGTCAGTAAATGAAAAATAGTCAATTTCAGTAAATAATATCGCATCATTTTTTTGGAGAAAAACAGAAAACAGGTTCATTTCCATGCCTGCAAAACAGAAAAAAATAAAACTTTGAAAACTGTTTGCAAAATCATTTTCCTAGTTTTTGACCAGCGCCAATGTGAATACATGTCCAAAGGAAACTGGACAGAGGCCACCAAACTCATTTCACATAGACCCCCTTTAGCCTCATTTTCAGAGGTGCAGAGCCCCCAAAATTTGCAATTAAGTGGGTGTTCAGCACTTCTGGAAATTAGGCCATTAATGATCATTACTGACCTGAGCTTTACATCATGTTACCAGTCCTCAGAGCCATCCACTCCTTCACAGAACATCTCTTTTCTCAATGAGGCAGAGATAGTGGTTGCTTTTGTATTGGCTAATTTGTAAAACAGTCCACGAAACACACTGGTGTCACATTTGGCTGACTTCTTTTGCTACTTTTTCTTGCTGTCTGCATTTGGACACAAGAGGGAGCCCTGGATTACTGAAGGAAAACTACCTCGCCAGGGATTCCAGATTTGTAGATTAAGATCTTTAACAATGTGCCAAACACTTTTCATGTATTTATTTATGCATATAGTACAATTAATGATAATAAGTTTATTCCTGCTGAGCCAGATTCTGCTCTCAGCTGCACTAGAGTAAATCCAGAGTAAATTCTCAACTTCAATGGATTTGCACCAGTATAACTGAGGGCAGGATTTGGGCCCACATTTGTGAGTGAATAGGGAGTCGTGAAGTCACTCGTGAGCATCACCAAGGTAATTGAGAATTTAAAATACAATAAAACAATAGTGGCACTTAATAGCCTTTTCTTTAACATCTCTCAAGGTGTTTTACAAAGGTGGCTAGGTATTAAATATCTCAATTCTGCAGACAGAGAAACCGAGCCACTACGAGGTTAGGTGACTTGCTTAAGGTCACTCAGTGAGTCAGTGGCAGAGTTGTAGATGAACCCCAATGGCCCATTGTATTATGTCCCTGATAGCTGTGCAGTGAGATAGAAATAGTACAAACTGAAGTGACAGCCTTTTCTGCTTACTCACTTTCTGAAGAGGAGAAATGTATATAAATTGCTCATTGGAAACTATTCCTCTTGTTAGTCCTCTATAAAAAAATAAAGCAGAGATAGGCCCAAGCCACAGAGCTTGGGTTCTGATCCAAACTATTCCAGGTATTGGGAGTGTTTGGATCAAGGGTTTGGGTCCAACCTGTTATAAAGAAAGGGGCTAGCTTCCAAACAGATGCCCAATATTTAGTTCCGGACACCCTTCTGTTTTCACTGACTTTAAAGGGAAGTTTGCCAGGGAATTCCAGAGGATCAGACCCATAGCCTGACACAAATATTTGCCAGTATTCACTTAATGTATTAAGCTTACTGACTTCAATGAGAGCTGGCTCGGGCCCTTGGAATGCCAGCTGTTGGCCTCGCACAGTGCCCCTTCCCTCCCCTCTTCACAGGGGTGAGGAATTCTCACTTGGAGTGGGTATCATTGATAGATATATATTAGATTGCTGATGTGGTGAGCAGCAGCCCCTGAGTGACACATTTAGAACTGACACCTTGCTATATTAGCAAGGATAGAAGGAGGGGACAGCTGACAGAGACTTGAAGTTTGTCTCTGTACTGTTTGTCCTCTCTGTCCAGCTCCTGACCAGCAGTAACTAACCATGGATGATATTTACAAGGCAGCAGTGAGTAATATGTTTAAACTTACCTTGATCTGGGGGTGCCTTTGTTGTATTAGAAAGATGTTTCAAAGAGTTTTTGCTGATCTCCTAAAGCCACAATAAGGCACAGCAATGATTGTCTTTACACTACGAGTACTTAATGTAACAACGAAATGCATTTAGGAATGTTAGTTGTAGTGAGGTACCTTCTAGTTCAGAACATAGAATTTTTCATGCAATGGCAATTCTAACTATGTAATGTTCTTTTTGTAAGAAGATTCTTCTCAAAATAAGCTGCTAAATTATTTGTAATAAGTCTTTCTCTGGTTCTGTGTTGTGAAATAAAGAGATGGCATGTAAGTGTAATTTTAAATATATTTTGAAAAATCTACTGAAGTATCAGGTATGGTTACTGCTTTATCCAGGACTTGACAGATCAACTGTTTCAATGGGGAACTGAAGAGAATTTGAATAAGCTGAAACTGAAGCATTGGTTTTTTTGTGTATTAAAATTCTGCCATTTCCAAGCTTCTTCCCTAGCTGAATGTTTTTCTGCAAAATATATTTTGAAAACCCCTTTTGATAAACGCTTAGGAAATAAGTGATCTGATTTGCAATTTCTCTTTCCTTGTTCTTGATATCTACACTGCAAAAAAATATAATGTAAAACATACTGGTTGTGCTTTCTAAAGAAGACAAGAGAAAGCAGTTTTGCCTTCAACCATTGCATATCAACCTTACTGTATAAACCCAAACTATTTTGTCTTCCCCCAGTAAAGATGCAGCATTATTTTGTACCTTAAATAGCTGATGATATGGAGGCAGAACAACATGAAAGCGGTATCTTTCTGGAATCTGTATTGCACGAATCCCTTTACCTTGAATTCCGTGTTACCAGGTTCTGTAAATGACTCTTGTGATTGGTTACAGGGTTATATATGGTATTGCAGATAGTTAACAATTGATTAGGTTGGTATTCACATTTCTATCAAGAGCATAAAGATAAATCAAATGTGGATATTTCTTTCAAAATTCCAAGATGTCCTAAAGGAACAGGGATCATGGTTGACACATAGCAACAAAACAAGTTGTTCTTCATATTAGACTAATCTATGACCTGCACTGAGCTGGGACTCCATTCTACAGACTCCAGTCCTCTTGGGTTCAGTGAGCCAAAAGTCCAGGTCTTCAAAAAGAATGAAATAAAAAAGTGACCTATAGAAGTAAACAAAATTCACGTCTCTGCAATTGGCTCTTTATTAGACTCATGCTCAATGTTTAGAGGCATCACACACATTGTTATGAAGAAATGTTGAAACATTTTGAAAGCCAGCAATGCTAACAATTAGCCAAATGGATCTGTCAGTCAGGCGGATGGAATGCATTCTCTAGCACAAAGGAAGAATTAGAGTCAAGAGACGGATAGAGGAAGGTTTCCCAGGCACAACTTTCAGCCTCTTTCATACCTCTCAACCTGCTAAACCCCATACAGGTCAAAGACCCAGAAAACCAAATTAATCCCTAATCTAACTCCATGGATTTCAATGGAGTTTGAGTTTAACTCAAAAAAGGGCCACAAATACAAAAAATTCCATCCCCCATAACCAACAAACTTCTTACTCCAAGCCTAGCGTTCTATAGCCAAGCAAGAGAGAGGACCAGAAGACTCCATGAAGTCCAGTAGAGACTTTGCTGTGCCAATTTTTTTAGCTTGGGGCACATTCAGATACTATGTTGATGAGAACCAGTAAAAAACTGTAAAGTAGATAGATGAAGTGGGATTCCTGTCTTGAGCAGGTTAATATAGCTGCATTTGTATTGTAATTAATTTACAAAGGCAAAGTAATATTGGGTTGGGGCACACACGTGGTTCTAAAATGCAGTACAACTGAGTGTAAAGGATATTTCCTTGGACCATTCCATAAAAAAAGATCCTAAATATATGTACTCTAAGAAAATATTAAACTGGAAGAAATCTAGAGAGTAACTAAAGCAAGGCAAAGTTGATTGGCTCACTGCTTATGTATCATGACAGCATCCTCAGCATTTACACACTGAGGCAGTAATGAAAGAAGTCAACCCCCAAAACAAGAAGATACAGAGACTAAAAGAAAAAGACCATGAATAGATCATGTGGTCTTGGGGAGATCATAAACCACTTGAATTTCACCTCATGGTTTATTATTTTATTGATCTTCCTAGCATTATTGTTACCCATCATTTAATTTATGTACAGTACATTCCTATATCTAAAAATTTATGCACACAAAGAAAGGCACTAGTTAAAGAGGGTTAGCTTGATTCAAAGGAATTGACCATTTGTGGTATGTTGCAAGTTGATGGCACATTTTAATAAAGCATTGAATTAGTTTCCTAAATGCACCAACAGAGTCCAGTGGATTTTCATTTTCACTCATGTCTAGATAAGGTTATACAAATGCAGAGCTATTTTGGTAACGCTTTCAAACTCCACTGAACCGTACTAAGAACAGTGCCAAGGACAAGTGTCCAGATAAAAGGGCCCAAGGATAAATACCAATGCCATTCAGTTCCTGGGAACAATCAGAAGGTTTATCTTTATCTCCAGCACCTCAATCATTGGGGCTTATAAATAGCTAACATGCCGAAAGAGTTGAGTTACATGGAAGGCACGAAAGTGGCAATAGGCATGTATTTACTGGGAACAGCTCATACCTTCGGAGTCCCCAACTATCCTATTTTACTGCCAAAACAATGGAAGAGCAGCCTGCAGCTGCTTGCCTTCCATCATGGATGGCTGGACAAAAGGGTTCAGATTTCGTGATGCAATGCTGAAGAAGAATCCTGCTGCTATTGTTATCTGCATCTGATATGGACGGATCAGCTTCCCTGGTGTGTCCTCTGCATGTGTGGTTTGTTAAAAGTCAACATTTCTCAGCAAGAAATGCTGGTCATTTTGGCCTCTGCCCTCACAACAGGCTTGGCAGTTTTCTAGCAGAAATTCACAAGGCTATTATCAACAAAGGCCCAAGGCTGAAATAGCAGACAGGCTCTGCAACTTCAGATTAAGGGGCATTGATAAAGCTCTGTCAGGGCTCAGGACTGGAATTAAGATCGTGATACAGCTCAGGAACAGAGTGTATTGGCAACACTGGGGATATAGGACTAAGAACCTAGGGAAGCTGCTGGTAAAGACTGTGGTTCATTGCCTTTATGTTATGGGCTGGTAAAGTGGTTGCAGATTTGGGTCCCATTTACATAGACTGATTTCAGAAAGAGGGTAGGGAAATGTTGTTAGAGCAGGACCAAAGGCAGAACCCTGTAAGCATCAAAATAGAGCTGCCTAGTGACAGAGGAGTGTGGGTGGCGACAAGAAGTAGCAGTTGGATAGCTGCTGGAGGAAAGGAACCAGGAAGGTGCTGAAAGCGCCACCAAATTCTGCAGGCCAGTTGAATAGGATGTTATGGTCTGTGGTATTAAATGAAACATTAAGATCAGGAAGGAATGAACTGAGAGGGGGAAGTAGGTTCAGATAAGAGGAGAGGTGCTAACATTGTCCAGACCAGTAGGTCTCAACCTTTCCAGACTATTGCACCCCTTTCAAGACTTTGATTTGTCTTGCGTGCTCCAAATTTCACTCACTTAAAAACTACTTGCTTACAAAATCAAACATAAAAATACCAAAGTGTCACAACACAGTGGTATTGAAAAATTGCTGACTTTCTCATTTTTACCATATAATTATAAAATAATTGATTGGCATATAAATAGAGTATTTACATTTCAGTGCAATATCTGAACCTATTTTTCACTTATGAGCCTTGTCTGAAGCTGAAGCCCTGCCACCAGGGGCTGAAGCACGTAACTTAGCTTCATGGGGCCCTGGGCAATTGCCCTGCTAGCCACTGTCTAATGAAGGCCCTGCACTTGCGATCCCCCAAACCCATCCCATGACCTCTCTGGAGGCTGCAACCCCCAAGCTGAGAGACACTAATCTACATGACTTGAATACCCCCTGGAGACCTCTGAGAACCTCCAGGGGTACACATACCCCTGGTTGAGAACCACTGGTCCAGACCACTAGCATATGACTCAACTACACAATCCTATTTGCTGTTCAAGATTAGTTAAGTTCATGAAGGATAGGTCCATCAATGGCTACTAGCCAGCATGGACAGGGATGGTGTCCCTAGCATCTGTTTGCCAAAAGCTGGGAATGGGCGACAGAGAATGGATCACTCAATGATTACCTGTTCTGTTCATTCCCTCTGGGGCACCTGGCATTGGCCACTGTCAGAAGACCGGATACTGGGCTAGATGGCCCTTTGGTCTGACGTTCTTATGTTCTGTTCCTGTAGATGTATCTTATTAATTCAAATTTACACTAAGCCCCCACTATTTGTTTGCTCTTGATAACCAGGGAAGGAGATGGAAATTATCTTACAGTCCAGTATTAGTTCAGTACTTGACTAGAGGAACTCATTTACATATGATGCATAGCAGGCATGCAGGGAACAGCCACTACCCCTATATAAGGCAGAGTAGGGTGCTCCTGCAACCTGCAAAGGCCATGGGTATGTAGAAGTTTGGGGACTGGACCAAGGGCATGACAGGCCAGCTCCACTAGTTCTGGGATTACCCATGGACTTCAATAGACTGTGGAAGGGCTGTGGAGTTGCCCTCCGCTCTGTCCATAGATCCAGGTGTCCATTCCCACCAGAGCACAAAGCCTACTTAATCAAGGACTTGGCAGGGTAAATTTTACACTAAGATTTTTCACATTAAACTGTAGTAATGCAGTTTCATTTTGTTACCCTTATTTAATTCTTCTTCAGACTCTGTATTACCTCCACTTTTCAGCACACTTTTAGAGCACCAATTACTTAAGACTAGAACAGAAAATGGAAGAACAGAAGTCTCTCTGTTCTTCTGATAATCAAAGCAATGCAATAAAACCAGGAAACCTAACACAGTCCCATTATACTTGAAGGGACCAATCTTGTTCCCATTGAAATCATCTGGGACCGGGCCCTAAAATTCTCATCTTGTAGCTCTCCAAGGGAGCTGAACAGCAGGAGACATGTCAAAAAACAACAGCCCCTTGATACTTCATCCAAAATCAGAATTTATA